TCCGCTGTTAAATGTCTTCCTGAGTTCGTCTCCCTTGGTTCCTGAAAATAAAGTCTTGGTAAAGTATTCTTCAGCGTCTCCTCGTTCCTCGTGTGTGTACATCGTGACAATAACAGCATTTATTTGAAATAGAAGTATTTTATAACACTGTATTAATTTATATACTGAACTGTTACAGGTGACCAGTTTCCTTTTTTTTTCTAAATGTTATAATTTGAAGGCTTCACTCAGCAATTACATATATGTGATTAATTTGATGAATCAGCATTTAATGTAAATTTTGTATCTCTTCTAAAATACAACAACTTTAGTTATAGTAAAGATACTGAACATCTGTGGTTTGGTGTCATTCTGTAAAGCAACAAACGAATGCGCTTGCTTTAATAATGTTCTTAGTTTTCCCCCGGGCTTCTAATGTGCTTGCTAGGCTATGTCAGTGTTTCTCTTATGTTGAGCATCCACTTGGGTTCAATAATTACATCAGAGGATTGTGATAAAGAGCCTTCATCTAGCATGTGCTGTGAAGCACTGGACCTGCTCTCTGTTGCTCTGCTCTGTTGTTTATAGCTGTGAAAGGACAGGGCAGCTGTAGGGTGGGTAAGATCACAGCAGGTCAAAACCACTTTAAGCGCTGACATATCTGGGCTGTTTCCCTTGTGCATTCTAATACTCTAAGCCACAGCTTCTCCAGAAGACTCATTTACATGCAGACACCACTGGAAACCAACTACAACAAAAGGTAAGTGTTTGAAAGAAAGAGACAGGGAGATAAAGATGAATATCCACACATGCAGCTACTGTATGCAAGGACTTGGATGGCAATACAAATACTTTCTCTGAGGAAAAGTGCTGTCTGCCATAGCTAAATTTGTAGTTGCGAAACATTTGAAAGTTGTCTGATCGTTTTGAAATGAAATGCAGCTATATTCAACGAGCCCCACAATTTGTGGTGTCATTCATGTCTCTAGCACAAAGAGTGTAGGGCAAGTTACATATTGAAGTTTTATATAGTAATTCAGTATATGATATTGCATACTTAGTTTAAAAGGCTCATATTTTTGTTGTGCTTACATTTGAGATGTAAAGTTGTCTAAATCATCCTTTTGAGGTGGGAAAACGCATCTAGGCAGATGACCTTTTGTTTATGGTTACAGCACGTCCCTTTTCTGGTAGGTTTGGGCATGTTGTGTGAAAATTACTAGGTTTACATGTTCATTACATAAATTAAAATATTTAACACAAATAAGGATGCAAAAAATGGACAATATTTTTCAAAACAGTGTGATAATTGCTCATTTAAAATGTTATCTGCAGTGCTGTACAATTTCCAGCTAGGTTTCCCATAAAACTGCTCTAAAGGAATTGAGGAAAAAATTTGAATTATCTATTGTAATCAACAACATGCAACAGATTCTTAAAAAGTATAAAATTCCTTTAAATTTACATGAACTGAACTGAAGTGAAAACAACTGAGATGAATATTATCCAGATTCTATTCCGAGTGAAATTAGAGATGGGTTTGCTGGTGGCAGTCGTGCACAAGGGACATGTGTCGCATTTGGCCGTGCATGGAGAGATCAGACACATGCATGTCCCTTAATCCCAGTCCAGCTCACTTCCTGTCCCAGACGCTATCCAGAGAACCAGAGACAGAGAGCAGAGGAGCGCAGAAACACCATAAACACAGCCGGAGGAGGAGAGATAGAGGAAGGAGAAAAAGAGCCAAGCGGAGGCAAGAATAGAATATGCATGAAGGAGAACAATGGTACAGAGGAAAAAGAAAATGAAGAGAAGAATGGAGTAATAAATGAGAGAAAGGCTTGCAAATAATTCAGAAACCACACAGCACACAAGCCTGTGCATAAGAGATGATCTGGCTAAAATCTGTTAAGTGTTTCACAATTTACTTTTTTAATTGGGAGAAAAATACTTTTTTCTCCCAATTCTGAATTTATATCTTACAATTAACTGAATTTTGACTTTCTTTCTCACAATTTACATTTAAATTTTGAATTTACATCTGACAATTCTGTTTATATCTTGCAATTCAGATTTTTTTCTCTGAATTCTGAGTTACTTTGCATTTCGCAATTGAAATTTGCGTTTTTTCTCTCTCAATTCAGACTTTTTTCTTGCAATTGCAAGTTCATATATCATAATTCAGACTTTTCTTCTCAGAATTGCGGGTTATAAACATATCTTGCAGTTATATGTCACACTTGACTATATCTCACAATTCTGTTTATATCTTGCAATTCTATGTTTATGTCTTGCAATTCTGAGTTTATATAACTGAGATTTAAAAAACGTCTGAATTGCGCTCAGAATTGCTAGAGAAAAGTTTGAATTGTGAGATAAAAAGTCATGTTTCGTGACGTCATGTTTTTAATCCCGTGGCGGATTAACAGTGGTCATTAACTGTGGCTATTACAGAATCAGTTGGAGCAATTTGGGGCTTTTTATAAATGTGGAAAAGCCTAATGAAAATGTGGTCATTTGAAAAGAATTGCCAAATTTTAATACTTAGGGTAAAGGGGGTTGTTTAAATCACAAAATAACCAATAACAGACTACAATATCCAAGAACTATTTTTCACTCATTTGTTATCTCTTAATATTAATTCAGCCCTCATATCTCTCTCAATCTGGCCTCCTGTCTATCAATGGATTCACAGATTATCATCACAGATGGAGTGACTAGATGTCTTCTATCGTACCGAGAATTATAATCCTCCGGTGGCAGATTGGGAAATGTGGCCTAGAACAGACTCAAGCTGTGTTAGTCTATGTATGCAGTTGAAAAAATGTCCCTTGCTTGAGCCATCAGAATCCAAATTAGGTTAATTTTATTTATCACTGCACTCTGTTTGTACTCACTTCTCACAGTGGCCGTCCTGGTGCAGTTATAAAGGATGGCGAGCTCTCCAAACACTTTTCCTGGTCCCATAGTGCACAGCTTCAATCCTTCTTTAGACACTTCAACTTTTCCCTCTGAAAAAAAAACACCACAACTGTAAATAACAGAGTGAACACTTTTAAACAATATTTATACATACTGAAATAGAGACACATTTAATGAGTTCAGTTTAAAACTAGATCATAATAGTCAGAATAATGGTGAATTTCATGACACCTGGGAAGAATGTCGCCGTCATTTTAATCTCAAAATCAAAAGTAAAAATATAAGAAATGTTTTGATTAAAAGATTAAGTGTAATAATATTTTGTTTTCATTATTACATTTTTTAAACAAAATATAAAAAATACTAATGAGAATCACAATGCAGAAATTTTAATGGTCTTAAAAACAGGCTTCATACTCGTGCATGTATATGCTATATATAATGTTTAGTCGCCTTTAGTGTAACTGCACATTAAAATACACCTCTCTCTCTCTCTCTATCAGAGGTGTCAACTGTAGATGTGCTGATATGATACACTGTGAGCAGAATAACAGGAAGTCGAGCAGCTTTTCTCACTTTTCAGCAGCTGATCACACAGACAGGTGACAACACAGGTGAACGACCATGTGAGATGAGAGAGAGCAGTGCAGAGAGAGATATTGAAAAGGTGTGAGGGGCATATCAAGGTTATAGAGAGGAGAGATAGTGAGATATGAGAATGCAAGAGAATGAGAGAAAAGAGAGAGATTTGATGACTCTTCCCTTATGATGGACTATCATTAATATTCAGATCTGGCAGTACAGGATTATGGGGCAGAATGAATTTCATGTGGCCTTGACCTAATCAAACCTTTCTCTGCATTCATTATAATCATGGTTCAAAATTAACTGTTTTCCACACTTGCCAACGGCGAATGAATTGAGAAAATTTACAAGTCATAAAAATTGTATTTAACATCTGTAGACAATGGAATTATTTAGATGTTTTTACTTTGCATACTCATGACAAACAGCACAGATCATTCTGGATGAGCCAGTCTCCGTCTGTCTGTGATATTTCTGTTTTAGTGGCTTAATGCGTGAAATATTCCACATATGTGTCACCACATGGAGTTCTTCAGAAAATGAAATTAGGCATTCTAGATGAACTGATACCATTTCCTTTGAGGTAAACGATGCAACAGATGTTTTCCTGAGTAGATGCTTTATGTCTTTGATTTGAAAAACGCACATCACTTACATCTGAGAGAGTCTGTCTATCATTCTTACAGTTTGACATAAAGCATGTAATGTTGCTGTTCCTAATAAAGTTACCTGTTTTATGCTGTTTTATTTACTCACCAAAGCCAAATGTTACTCATTTATGCATTCTGCGCTTTTAATTTTATCCCCCGATAATCAGAATTAATAATGCTATTCATGTAGTCAAGATCAGGGTTGTAGGGAACATATTTACTTTACTGTTCAAACGTTTGGGATTTATTTATATTTTATTAATACTTTCATTTAGCAAGGATGCATTGAATTGATTAAACTGAAGGAAAATATATTTATAATGTTAAAAAATCTATCACGGATTCTGTAAAAATAAGCAGAACAGCTGTTTCCAACATAGATAGTAATGTTTCTTGAACACATTAAAGACATATTTTTAAAAAATTACATTTTAAAATATATTACAACTACTATTTATTATGACTTATTTTAATTTGTAATAATATTTCACAATATTACTGTTTTTACTGTATTGTGATGAATAAATTCATCCTTGATGAGTTTAAGAGATTAAAAATCTTAGCAACACTAAACTTTGAACACTAGTGTAAGCGTGTATACAAGAGAGAAATATAATCATTATACCAAATGCTTTAAGATCATATTAAAATAAGAGGTTAGAACATGCAAATAACTTCTCATGTAATGTCAGAGTGTAAGATAATATTCAAAACAGGCTAAGAATTTATTAACAAGTGGCCCACAACAGGCCATAAATGTGTGATATAAAACTAGACTGTAACTATCTGAGCCATTAAAGAATTAAATATTAAATATGAACACAGCTTATTATCACCGCAGGACATACTCAAACACTTCAAACAGGACATTCATAAAGTCATAAAAGGATTTAAGCCTAGCATGTACACTCATTAAATAGAATGACATTAATGTAGAAGAAAAATTAAGGAATACAACCAAAAGGACTGTGAAGACTATGAGCATGAACAGGGTCAAAGTTGTAAAGTTCAGTCCAGAGTTTGTTCACACTGAAAAGCTGTAGTCATTTTAAGTGTCTCAAATGTTTTTCCCAAAGCTAATACACCCACCACCACAACAGGAAGTAATAATGTCCAATAGCGTGACCTCCAGTTCCTCCTCGGACAGACACAGGAAGCTATGACCCAAAGGGTCAAGGACATTGCTGTGAACAACTGATTACTTTTCCCAACATGCACTAATGTGCTTCTTTGGCAAAGAATGGAAAACTACAATGCACATACACACACTGACATGTTAAAGGGTTAGTTCACCCAAAAATGAAAATTCTGTCATTAATTACTCACCCTCATGTAGTTTCAATCCTGTTTCAGCTGAGCCACGCGGATACGCTGTTTCCGTTCAGATCAAATCACAACAACGTAGGAAACAGATCCGGCATGACGCAGCTGACACAGAACAGCATACACTGTTCTCGTAGTTTCGTATAATTATGGTTGAACCCCCTGATGTCACATGGATTATTTTACAGATCTCCTTGCTACGTTTCTGGACTTGGGAACATTTCAGTTGCGTTGCTGTCTATGCAGGGTCAGACAGCTCTCAAGATTCCATCAAAAATATCTTAATTTGTGTTCCAAAGATGAACGAAGGACTAACGGGTTTGAAACGACATGAGGGTGAGTAATTAATGACATAATTTTCATTTTTGGGTGAACTAACCCTTTAAGGGCTGGCAGTGTAAGGCAGGTAACATTGCTCAAACTGTTTGCTCTATCATGGTTATTAAGCACTATTGTTCAGAGCAGCTCCTAATGCCCTAATGCCCTACAGCCAATCATATATTACCCATGATTCACAGAGATAAGAAGTAGAGGAAGAGCGAGAGACAGAGATGTTCCCCTGACATGGGCTCTACTAAACAAACATTAATAACTCGGAGACAGATGCTAAGTGATCGAACAGGCAGGAATGAAATAATGCATGAAATGAAATAAAGAGAGCGGACTGCAGATAAGGCCACTGAAGACAGATATTAAATGATGAGAGATTGTCTTGTGTTTACTCTGCAGGCTGAAATGGACTCTGCATGCTATACATCTGAGTAAAACAAAACACTGAGCAGGAAATAATGCAGGGCGGGACTTGATTTTATCCACTGGGATTTGATTGGACTGAGCATTTGTGCTCAGTTGTGCAATGATATTATTGGTTGTTATACAGTATATATATACATATATATATATATATATATATATATATATATATATTATAACTATACCATTTTAAAGTTTG